GCAAAGAATTGCATCTTGAGCGAGGGCCTGGAGGAAGGCAGGCGGGAGGGAGGGGGGAGAGGACAGCAGGGGAATGAAGGGGGCTGTGGGTAGGACCAGCGCCAGATCAAAGTACCCAGATGGCCCTTCAGGCCAGGCCCGATTTTCTTTATCTTAGGAGCTGGGACTGCCAAGAGGCCCCGGGAAAAGATTGACTTCAGGCTTCACTCCCACCAGAACCAGCACCATTGGAGGGGCCAATTTCAATCCTTCCTTGTCCAGACAAGCAGGCAGGATGCCAGCACTGGAGGAAGGCGAGGAGGAGGAGCCACCGGTGAGCAGGCCTCTCCCGCCGGAGATGGGCAGGTTGGGAGCACCCAGGTTCAAGGCCGCGCAGTAAGGAGTGCAAAACCTTCCCTGTCTTCTTGCATCGGCTGATGCCAGAACTTGTTACAGTCATTTCAGGGAAATCCTGGTCAGTTAAGGTTTTCTAGTGTAGCTGGCATTTTCTCCTTTATTTCCAGGTCCTCTGAGGTCCTATGGAGTGCCTAGGTTTCACAGCTGGGGGGTAGGGAATCTGGTCCCCAGTCATCGTATGTCCCCATGGCTTATGCAGGGGTGTCCTGCCCTTCTGCATCTCCCTCAGGGACTTGGGGACGATTGGATGGTGTCTTTCTTCATATTGGGGCTGCAGGGGCTCAGGACACTGCCTCTGACCCAGTGTTCCTCCATGACAATGATAATAACAAAATGTTATTTACTGTGCACACCCTGTTCTAAGTGCTTAACATGTATTCACTCACTCAATCTTCCCAATACGATGTAAGTAGGTGCTACTGTCCCCTCTACAGATGAGGAAACTAAGGCACAAAGGTGAAGAACTTGCCATGCCAGCTCTCCTCCTGGCACTAGAAAAAGTCCTGTGGGGTTAGCCCCCTCCCGATCTTGCAGTCAGGCTTGCGGACTAAACAACTTTGTCTCAACCTCTCGTCTCTGTGGAGAGTTTTAGGGCTATTTTGAGATTTGACAGCTAAGAATGACCTCTTTCCTTCTGATCCTCCCCGGGCTCCCTTCCCAAAGCAGCAGAGGATGGACACCTGGGTCTCCCGGGCTGTGGGGTACAATGCGTAGGAATAAGGTGGGCTTGGTTGAGGTATTAGACACTTACACCACTGTGATGCTTGATTTTACATTTATTTATTTATTTTTTGAGATGGAGTCATCCTTTGTCTTCCAGACTGGAGTGCAGTGACACAATCTCAGCTGACCGCAATCTCCGCCTCCTGGGTTCAAGCGATTCTCCTGCCTCATCCTCCTGAGTAGCTGGGATTACAGGTACTCGCCACCATGCCCAGCTAATTTTTGTATTTTTGGTAGAGACGGGGTTTCACCATGTTGGCCAGATTCCTGAACTTTGTGATCCAAAGTACTGGGATTACAGGTGTGAGCCACTGTGCCCGGCCTATTATTTTTTATTTTTATTTTTTTGAGACGAAGTCTTGCTCTGTCACCCAGGCCGGAGTGCAGTGGCATGATCTTCGCTCACTACCTCCCAGGCTTAAGCTGTTCTTCTGCCTCAGCCCCCCACATAGCTGAGATTACAGGCACCCTCCACTATGCCTGGCTAATGTTTTTATTACATTTTTAGTAGAGACCAGGTTTGACTATGTTGGTCAGGCTGGTCGAGAACTCCTGACCTCAGGTGATCGGCCCACCTCGGCCTCCCAAAGTGCTGAGATTATAGGTGTGAACCACCACACCCAGCTTCATCACTGCCTTTTAATAAATGAGACTGTCCTCTTGGCATCTCAAGCCATGAAAAGCCCCATATGGCAAGCACAGCCCTGCCAGGATATGAAATTGATAGTGTGGGTGGTTACCAGCTCTGCCATGTCTCCCCGCCCTGGACCTCACGGGAAGCATTCCTGGTTGGGTAACTCCCTGAAACAGTTTTCTGTAGAGAGAGTATAGTTTTCAAAAACCTAATGATTTTCGGACGTAAACCTGCGACGGTCTCCTCAGCTGCCTCAGATGCTGTCACCTCCTACTGCGGAGCTGGGCCGTCAGGATGTTTACGCGGCCACCTCGGATTCCATTCAGCTCTCTACAAAATTTATTTTTAAATGTGCAGTGTCCCTTCTTACACATTCCTCAATACTGGATCCTGGACAACTCTTTAGTCAACCTTAAAGTTCAGTTCAAAAGGCTCATTTTCTCTCAGAGCTTGAGGCCACGTTTGTGCATGGAAGAACTTAAGGTTTTAGGAATTTTATTTAGATCATGGAGATATTTTGAACCCTAATGCCTCTGATCTTTGATCTTGGGTCTAGGCTGTCCCTGGTCAAACCTACTACTGTTTTTTGTTTTTTGTTTTTTTTGAGATGGAATTTCGCTGTGTTGCCAGGCTGGAGTGCAGTGGCACAATCTCGGCTCACTGCAACCTCCATCTCCCAGGTTCAAGTGGTTACCCTGCCCCAGCCTCCCAAGTAGCTGGGTTTACAGGCACGTGCCATCATGCCTGGCTAATTTTTTTTTTTTTTTAGCAGAGTTGGGGTTTTACCATGTTGGTCAGGCTGGTCTCCAACTCCTGACCTCAAGTGATCCACCCACGTCTGCCTCCCAAAGTGCTGGGATTACAGGCGTGAGCCACTGTGCCCGGTGAACCTACTGATTTTCAAGAGTGGCATCACTTTAACTGGAACCTATTGGAAAACTGGGACCAGATTTTAAGGTGATCCAAGCCTAGCCTTCCTAAAACCCTATTGATTCCTTAATTCAGCTCACAGTACCCCTTTGCAGCAAAATCTTACCCTTTGAGACCCCCAAGAGAGGGAGGGTCAGGGAAGCAGGGGCCTGTCCTGGTCTGAGAAGTGTGAGTCTTAAAGGCAGGAGGGAGAAGTGCCTCCTTCTCTTCATTTCATCTTTCTTTCTTGTCCTCCTCCCTCTGCTCTTTTTCTGTCCCTCCCCCCATTTTTTAGAAAATTTACAGAGGATGTGTTACAATCATGCCTCAAGCTCACACACTGTAAATGTGCAGTTCAATGAGCCTTAGCAAATTTATCCAGTTGTGTAAATGTTACCACTAAGCAGCTTTATAACACCTCCATCACCCCCAAAAGTCCCTGGACTCTCTTTGCAGTCAATCCCTGCTCCTTTCCCAGCCCCCAGCCCTACTGATCTGCTTGCTGTCTCTCTAGTTTGGCCTTTTCTAGAAACTATATAAAATGAATCATATACCAAGTAGTCTTTGGCATCTGGCTTCTTTCACTTTGCATAACGTTTCTGCATGTACCTTGGTTTGTCCCTCCATCTTTTATTATTATTATTATTTGAGACAGGATCTTGTAGCCCTGTCTACAAGGTTGAAGTGCAGTGGTGTGATCATGGCTCACTGCAACCTTGACCTCCTAGACTCAAGCGATCCTCCTACCTCAGCCTCCCGAGTAGCTGGGACCACAAGAGCACACCACTACACAGGGCTAATTTTTTAAGTTTTTTTGTAGAGACAAGGTCTTGCTATGTTGCCCAGGCTGAACGCGAACTTCTGGGCTCAAGCAGTCTGCCTCCCTTGGCCTCCCAGAGTGCTGGGATTACAGGCATGAGCCACCATACCTGGCCCTTTTTTATTATTTATTTATTTATTTATTGAGATGGAGTTTTGCTCTTGTTACCCAGGCTGGAGTGCAATGGCATGATCTTGGCTCACCGCAACCTCCGCCTCCTGGGTTCAGGCAATTCTCCTGCCTCAGCTTCCTGAGTAGCTGGGATTACAGGCACGTGCCACCATGCCCAGCTAATGTTTTGTATTTTTAGTAGAGACGGGGTTTCACCATGTTGACCAGGATGGTCTCGATCTCTTGACCTCATGATCCACCCACCTCAGCCTCCCAAAGTGCTGGGATTACAGGCTTGAGCCACCACGCCCGGCTTATTTATTTATTTTTGAGACCGAGTCTTGTTCTGTTGTCCAGGCTGGAGTGCAGTGGTGCCATCTTGGCTCACAGCAACCTCCGCCTGCTGGGTTCAAATGATTCTCGTGCCTCAGCCTCCCCAGTAGCTGGGACTACAGGTGTCCACCACCACGCCCAGCTAATATTTTGGTATTTTTAGCAGAGATGGAGTTTCGCCATGTTGGCCAGGCTGGTCTCCCCCTGACCTCAAGTGATCCACCCTCCTGAGCCTCCCAAAGTGCTGAAGTTACAGGTGTGAGCCACTATGCCCAGCCCTTTTATTATTTGTTGACTTATTTTTGTTTCTCTCTCTTTCACATACACACATACTCAAACACACTCATGCACATGCAATTTTCTCACTAACCCTCTCTTACCTTTTTTCACTCTAAGTCCTGACTTGGTCTTTGGGCCCTAAGATGCAATTAAGAAAGAGTGGAGTCCACACCCAGTTTGGTCCTAAGTGGGTACCTACGGGGGGCAGCCACCACCCAGCCTGCCCCAGCCCATGAGGGCCCAGGGTGTCTCATCCCCAGTGACGGTGAAAGGAGGGAGAAGTGGAGGTGAGGTGGGGGCTGTAAGATGTGCTTCCCTCTCCCTGGAGCTTAAGACCCTCAGCCTCTGGCCAGGGAAAGTGAAATAAGCATGGGCGAAGCTGGGAGAATAGAGTCCGTTTACTGAATGAATACATGTCTCAACTCCACGCAGAGTGGAGTGGGGCCTGGCAGGCGCCCTCAGCAGTGGGACCCCAGGCTGCTGGACCTGCCGGGGCTGCCGAGTCCCCTGGGGCTCCTGGGCTGAGGGGCAGCAGCGGGCCAGCCTGCCAGGAGCTCCTCAGTCTTAGGCTGCTTCGCCTGTGCTGTCTGGGACTAGACTGGTCGCTGTGGCTGCCCAGAGATGTTCAAGCCAGACCCCAAAAGAGAGTGACACAAGGTGAAAATGGTAACTGTGAACACTTTGGTTTCAGTTTCAGTAAAGAGAAGGAGGGAGGGAGGCACCTTGAGGACACAGAAGAACGGCTGGCGGGAGAGGGCTCCGCCCCGCTGAGCTCCGACGACGTCGGCTTCCTTGCTAGACGACCCGGCTTTGAGAAACGCCGCATTCATTGTCTCCCAGCTCAGAATCTGGAAGGCAAGAAGATGTCTCAGGCTGGAGAGCCGGGGCATACTGTGGGGTCTGTCACAGGGGGCACGGCACTGCTGTTCCTTCTCCCACCCCAGCCCCGAGGGCCAGCCACCCAGAGGGCCACAGTGCGTGGAACAGTGTGGGGAACAGAGATTGCAGTCTGGTGCTGGGGAGTCTGCCCACTGCCCATTGGGGCTTCAGCCACACCAGGGAAGCTGGGCCATAAGCTTCCCCCAAAGACAGCATCTTGGTCGTCTCCACGTCCCCACATAGCCTGGTGCAGCCCTTGTTTGCAGGCTGAATAGCTGTGGGAGCCATGGCCTCCTCTCCAGGTAAGGACCTCCATGAACCTCCACCTCCTAATTTGACAGGGAAGGGGGAATGAACCGACCTAGGAGTTTAAGGAGTCTTTCAGAGATCAATGGCTGAAGGCAGAGGGACAAGTGACAAGAGGGGGAAAGGGAGGGAGAGCAAGAGGCACTGAGGTGGTAGTGCAGACCAAGTGCAGAAGGTGGAGTTAGGGGGGTCTCCTTTATTCTTTATTCTTGGGGGAAATTCTTGTTCTAAATATGTTTCTTTTCCCCTTGGCTCGAATGAATGCTCCCTGACAATTTAGAAACAGTTTCGGCCGGGTGCCGATCACAACTGTAATCCCAGGACTTTGGAAAGCCGAGGCGGGTAAATCACTTGAGTTCAGGAGTTTGAGACCAGCCTGACCAACATGGCAAAACCCCGTCTCTGCTTAAAATACCAAAAAATTAGCTGGATGTAGTGATAGGTGCCTGTAATCCCAGCTGCTCAGGAGGCTGAGACCGGAGAATCACTTGAACTTGGGAGGCAGAGGTTACAGTGAGCTGAGATCGTGCCACTGCACTCTAGCCTGGGCAACAGAGCAAGACTCTGTCTCAAAAAAAGAAAAGAAAAGAAAAGAAAAGAGAGGGGAGGGGAGGGGAGAAGAGAAAAAAAAGAAAAAGGAAAAAAAAACTTTCTGCCTATTGAGGAAGAAACTGTGCAGGGAGCAGGAGCAAGTGACATCCCCCAATCCTACCCGGACCTTCTCACCTTCTCAGTTCTACCCAAGGAAGCCCCAGCCCCTGAGCTGCCCCATTCCCTCACCCGGTTCTGTGCTTTCTCCAAAAGCCCGTAGCCTTGACTGGGTGTTTGGGGAGGCACTCTGGTCCAGCCTTTGGCCAAGGGTGCTCACGCCCGCCCCTGTTCCTGGCCCTGTCCTCATCTGTTTGCATATCTGCAGAAGGTACTCCCCCTACCCCGCGCCCCACCTTGTCTTGGTGACACTGGGAAGTTATTTGTGCCAATGGGAAGCAGCTGTCTGGGTGCTGGCTCTGGGCACACACACCTGGGACTCTCTTCAGCTGCCTTAATCTCGGTTCCACTTGTGGCATTGTGTGAGGCTTTGGTTTTCACGTGCAGGGAAGGGGGTTCTGGTCAGCAGGCTGGCATGGGCACCACAGAGCCACAAAGAGGCTGGCACCTCTCTGTGCCACTTGGGTGCCCTGATGTGTTGCCCTTTTTCCTCCTGTGTACCTGAACCAAGCTAGGGTAGGTCACAGCCGTGACTCAGCTCCAGCAACCCATATTAACAAAGTGCTGCCAACCAGGTGAGTCATGCCAGGATGCCAGGGGACCAAAGGAGTGTGGCCCACTGAGGAGGCTGGATGTCCGTGGCTCTCCGGCTCTTGAGAACGGCTCTGGCGGAAGGCCTGGCCAGGACTGCGACTGGCCAGCACTCCAGGATAATCCCTCTGTGCTGGGTTCTCCTTGGCCTCAGCCGCGCCCACCGGTGTGTGCAGAGCTGGGGGCAGGTGGAGAGGGCCTGGGCTTTCAGGGGAGAACTGGCTGTCCCCACCTTGGGGCTGAGAGCGGCGGGGGAGGGGTGGTGATGGCGTGGATCCTCGAGCAGGTCCCAGCCCCCCAGGAAGGGTGGCAAATGAGTGGGGGGGGTCTCTCCCTCCGTGGGACCATTTGCCTTGGAGCAGTACGGGAGGGCGACTGGTCCCCTGACTCCCGTCGGTGGAGACTCTTTTTGCAGCACCACCCAAGGGATGTTCTTCTGCCCTCCGGAAACGTCGGTCTCCCCTGGGGCCCGGGCTCAGAGGCCAGGTGTCCCAAGCCCAGGCTCCAGGGTGTGCGGGGAAAGGCTCAGTCCTGCTCGGCGCGACCCCCCTTGGGCACTAGGGGTCGCCCCTGCCCAGCGGAAGCCACGCGGGCGCGCCCGGCCGCCGCAGGTTTCCTGGACCGGGAAGAGCGAGGCGCCTCCGGGGCGGGGCTGGGGACCGGGTGCCTGGGCGCGGCGCCGGGACCCTGCCCGGTCCTCTCGGCCGCGGCTGGACGGAGCGAGTGGCCTCAGCGCCCGGGCCGGGCTCCCCGTCGCGCCCTTTCCGGAGCGGGAGGCCCTCGCCGAGGCCAAGCCTGGGACGCGCTGGGCGGGCGGCGGCGCGGAGCCGCGGGACCGCGGCACAGGGCGTTTTCCCGGGAGGTGCAGCGTGCGCCCGCGACACAAAGGTCTTTTAAAGACCTCGCCGCGCCCTTCCCGGCTGCGGAGGCGGGAGCAGCAGCTGCGCCCGCCCGAGGGACGAGGCCGGGGTCGGGGGCGCTGGGCTCGGCGAGATCCCCGCGGTTGCGCCCCCGCAGCGACCCCCGGGCTCCTTTTGTGAGCGGAAGGCGGGGCCCTCCCCGGTCTCTGAAAATGGTCAGTTCGGCTTCGCAGGGCTGCGTGCCCGGAATAATCAATTGGCTTCTCTGGGGTAGTAATCCGGGCCCCACCCCGTGCAGCTTTGAGCGGGTTCGCGCCTTCCCGGCAGGACTACTGGGGGTTCCCAAAAGCACCCCCGCGGCCGGCTGTCAGGACCACCGGGGTCCGTGTGAACACGATTCCAGGGCCCCACCCCATCGCCTGAAGCGGAATCTCTGGGCGGGGCCCAGGAATCCGAGTTTTTGGTGAGTTCTCGGGTGATTCTGTTGGTAAATCCCAGGTGGGAGCCACCGTTCTAACGCCTTTTGGGACAGGCAGTTGAGAAATTTTCCCCCAGATGAATCTCTGGGGCCCCAGCTGTCACAACCCCCTCGATTCACTGCAGTGTCGATTATCCCTGCTGGTGAAGTTCTTCCCGAGTCTGACTTCGAGCCCGCCTGCTTTACTTCAGCACATTTTTCTCCAGTCGTTTTTTTGGTTTTGTTTTGTTTTGTTTTGTTTTTTCATGGAAAAAGGAACAGGGAGAAGACGTTTCTCGAACCTGTTTGCAGACAGCCGTCTCGCCCGCTTTGAGGGCCAGTTCTCAGGAGACCTGTTTGCTTTGTTCAACCTCTGAATTCAGCAGACCCACCTGATTGGCTGAATGGGGAGGAAATCCACCAAGGCCACTAGCTTGTGCGTGAATGTGGTCCCTTCAGGTAAGGGCCAGACAGCGCCTGCCAGGACTTGGGAAGGGTTTTCCTAGAGGAATCCTGGCAGTAAAAAAAAAACAAAAAACAAACAAACAAAAAAAAACCAACCCCCAAACTCTCCAAGGGCTAGACGCTGGAGAATCCCAGCAAGGAAAAGGAACGAATCTTATCTCATGCCGGAAGATAACCTCTTCCCTTTGTTGGCGCTTTTCCTTGCTTTCAGGATGAATTAAAATTCTTATCTGCTCTGCATCCAGTGAACTTGGCCTCGCCTTCCTGATTGTTTGCCGCGGTTGACTTTCCCAAGCTTTGTGGGGTTATTTTTGCCTCTGGGTGGTGGTCATTCCTGCCCAGGCATTAGGTTCAACAAAGTCACAGAAAAAGAGGAACTTAGCAAACACCCTCAAAATGGCAGGACCGACCCCCAAAACCTACTTTCATTTTCTTCCATTCTGGGTTGTGGGTAATTTCTTGACAACTAGGAGAAAGAAGACAGCGAGAAATGAATTGTTTTTCCAATGCAATTGTGAACAGATGTATAACCTCCTAGTTGCAGGGACGTTCTAGGAATCCCTTACACCACCTTAAAGGGCCAGGGAAACGGGCGGAGGTGCTGAGGGCTGGGTGGGTGCTCAGCGTTGGCTGGGCTCAGCCTCGTCCTAACGAGAGCTGCAGCCATAACCTGGGTCACCTTTGCTGTCTCGGGCTTCTAAATTTGGCAGTGAGAACAGGCTTGCTTTCTTTGAGCAATTGATCTGAATGGCAGAATCTCATTCTGATGGTCCGAATCACATTTACAGGCTGTGGGGGTGAAGGCCTTGCTAATTGGCCACTTGCCTCACCACTGGCTTTGAAACAATCGCTTGCATTCTCTGCCCGGCAGGAAGCAGCAGACCCATCAAGGCCCTGGGCTCGCTCTTTGTTCTGACTTCATGGCATTTTATGCCACAATAAGAAACACTGTGTACTCCATGGGAGCCCATTGTGCCAGGCTGCAAGGATGTGGGCTCCGGTGCGGAGGGCCTGGTGCTCTTCCCCAGGAAGAAGAGGGGCTTTGTGGCAGGCTGGGGGGGGGGACAAAACAAGGGGTGCTGGACACTGTTACTGGGGCAACTGCCTGGCCAGTGTGGCGGCAGCTTTAGTCGCTGGGACCTCTTCTGTGCCCAAGGAGAGGGGGGTCAGGGGAAGGATGGAATTTCGTCTAGAGTAGCAGGTCCTGGTTAGCTGTTTAATTATGCATCAGGACTGGGCTAGCCACTGCCTCCGTTTCTCTGGGCTACCGAGACAACCTCCACCTGCCTCTAGATTCCGTGTCAGCTGATCGTATCAATCTCACCAACTGTTGTTCCACCAGGAAACGGCATCTTGGTGAGTGGGAGGTTTTTCTAACTGTGGACCAAACCTGGGCGTCCCATGTTTCGGGTTTATCTGCTTTGCTCCTTGGAGGAAAGAGCTTTTGGTTTTGTAGCAATGTTGTAGGTGGGGGCTGGGGTAGCCACAGTCCCTCCAGTCCTACCCATGAATGAACCAGGGGGATTGTAGAATGACTTCTAGACCCTACCTGCCTCTCCGCCCAGCCCTTGGGCTTCCCTCCCCTGCACCTAGCCTGAAGTTTTTCGCCATTTACGGCACACCTGGGACAGAAGACAGAGGCGGGCCCTCACTCCAGGAGATTGCTGTAATCATCAGATAGAGACAAGACCTGGCCTGGGAGGAAGCCCAGGACGCGGGGGATGGGGGACGGGCCCTGACAAATGGCGTGCTGCGCTGTGTGCTGAAAGGGAAGGAGGAGAGGAAAGGCAAGGCCATTTAGCTTCACCTCGAAGATGGGGTCATGGGAGGCTGGTGGATCCTGCCTTCTCTGGAGATGCTCCCAACAAGCGTCTGAGGGAGGAAAAACCAGCTTCCTGCTGGCCACTTGCAGAGGCGAACGTTCAGTGCTGCCACCAGCCTGTCCCTCATCCGGGCCCACCCCTGTCCGACGCTTCCCACGCAGGCCCCCTTTTTACCCCACACCATTGCAGCAGCCTCCTGGCTGGTTCCTTCCCCTCCAACCCACCCTCCACATGGCTGCTCAAAATTTCCCCAAAACACTTGGCCAAATTCTCCCCCAAAAAGGCCACATCTCCTGGCCTGCCAATCCCAGGCTGGAAACTGTCCCATGGCCTCCAGAGCTGCTCACAAAGCCTTCCTGCCCCACTCCCTGCCTGACCTCAGGCTCATCCTCTGCCCTCCCTGGCCACACAGCTCCCTGACTTTCCCCAGACATGCAAGTCTTGCCACGTCTCTGTGCGTTTCCATTTCCCTCTGCGTGGAATTCTCTCTTCTGCCACACCTACCCTTGCCCATCTGCCAAACCCTCCAGGATTGAGGCTAAATGTCATCCCTATGGTAGATCCAGTGATGAGAGCAATAATGGAAGCAGCTTTGCCACTAGGTTCCCAAAGAAGTGGGAACACTGACTGCAAAGGGCACAATCTGATTAGATTAAAAGCTCGGCCTCAGAAGCATTGGTGCGTGTCCCTGAAGAGCCTGGCTGGAGGTCTGTCCTAGAGGAGGTGTGGAAGGAGGGGCGAGAATGGCGGCTCCCCATTTCCCCTGACTGTGCTCTGCGTTCCCCACGTCTGACTCAACCTTCCGTTACAGCACAGGCACATTTGTGGACACTCTTGGTTACACGTGTTCTGCCCTTAGACTCTGTTCTCTTCTAGGAAAGGAGTGTCTTGATCATCTTTGTATTCCCAGAGGCTAGCACTTAGTAGGCTTGCAGAAAATCTTTGAATAGAGGCTGAGGTGGGAGGATTTCTTGGGACCAGGAATTCAAGTCCAGCCTGGTTAAACTGGCAAGACCCCATCTCTAAAAAAAAAAAAAAAATTAAAAATTAGCCAGGCATAGTGGTGCACGCATCCCAACTACTCAGGAGGCTGAGGTGGGAGGATCGCGTGAGCCGCATTCAAGGCTGTAGAGAGCTGTGAACCCGCCAGTGAACTCCGGCCTGGGCAACAGAGCGAGACCCTGTCTCGCTTTATCTTTATCTCCAGTTCTGGTAGATAAAGGAGAGGGAAGGAGGGCTTCTCTCCCAACTTAGTGCCTCTCTCTTGCTAAATGTTACCTGTCAGATTCTGAGTGTTTTCTTCAAGGAATTACTGAAATGCAAATCCAGAGGTATGAATTTAAGAAGAGCCAGTTGGCTTTCTACTTTCATTTGGGTAACTTTTTTTTTTTTTTTTAACTTGAAACAGGGTTTTGCTCTGTTACCCAGGCTGGAGTGCGGTGGCACAATCACGGCTCAGTGCAATGTCTACCTCCCCAGGCTCAAGTGATCCTCCCACCTCAGCCTCCCAAGTAGCTGGGACTACAGTCATGTGCCACCATGCCTGGCTATTTTTTTTTTTTTTTTTTTTTTGAGATGGAGTTTTGATCTTATCACCCAGGCTGGAGTACAATGGCATGAGCTTCATTCACTGCAACTTCCACCTCTCGGGTTCAAGCGATTCTCCTGCTTTGGCCTCCCCAGTAGCTGAGAAGACAGGCACCTACCACCTCACCTGGCTAATTTTTGTATTTTTTTTTTTTTTTTCTTTGAGACGGAGTTTCGCTGTTGTTACCCAGGCTGGAGTGCAATGGCACGATCTTGGCTCACCGCAACCTCTGCTTCCTGGGTTCAAGCAATTCTCCTGCCTCAGCCTCCCGAGTAGCTGGGATTACAGGCGTGCACCACCATGCCCGGCTAATTTTTGTATTTTTAGTAGAGACCAGGGTTTCACCTTGCTGACCAAGATGGTCTCGATCTCTTGACCTCGTGATCCACCCGCCTCGGACTCCCAAAGTGCTGGGATTACAGGCGTGAGCCACCGCGCCCGGCCAATTTTTATATTTTTAATAGAGATGTTGCTCAGGCTGGTCTTGAATTCCTGGGCTCAAGCACTCTGCCTGCCTTGGCCTCCCAGAGTAATGGGATTACAGGCATGAGCCACCACACCTGGCTTGATCTGGGTGCCTCTTAACTGGTTATCTATCTGTACCTGTTATTGCTCAGTAGTCTAAGTAGGTGAGATCAATTTCAGAATTTCTCCAGTTAAATGTGAGCTTGTGGTGAGAGCAGAGTGTCCCTGGTCCCTCCTGCTGCTTTTTGCTCTGGTTCCCAGCTTGTGCCTGGTGCAACTTCTTCTTTGTCCAGGACAGATTTGCTGGAAGTTTCTTTAGAGTCAGTGCTTTAGGGCTTTGGTCTTCATCCGGGGGCTATACTGTTTGTCGCCTTCTCATGCTTGCTTTGCAGGCCTGGTGGCTAATGTTGCTTGCATTGGCTCGCTGCTATTGGGGCCATCTGTAACCTGTGTCAACTCCGGATGCTTTGAAGTTCAATGTGCAATTAAAAAGTTTATTAAAATATGTGGAATCATGAAAATAAGGTTACAGAAATGTAACGAAGGATCGTTTCCTGCTTCTTGTACTTTTCCTTTTTTAAAAATGTATTTTTCTGAGAAATTTATGTCACCGTTGAAACCATGGAAGAGTTTAGGAAGGACACGCCTGGGTCAAGGAGGGTGATTCTTGAGGAGGTATCTTGGCAGCGCCCCAGCCAGTCTTCTTAATTGAGAGCTCAGGGTTTAAAGGGAGAATTTAAGCCAAAAATCTAGGTTTCTTATAACCAACGATTTGAATCCAGCATTTTTTTTTTTTTTTTAAAGACAATCTCACTCTGTCCCCCAGGCTGGAGTGCAGTGGCACAATCTCAACTCACTGCAACCTCTGTCTTCTGGGTTCAAGTGATTCCCTGCCTCAAACTTCCCAAGTAGCTGGGATTACAGGCATGCGCCACCATGCCCAGCTAATTTTTTTGTATGTTTAATATAGACAGGGTTTCACCATGTTGGCCAGGCTGGTCTCAAACTCCTAACCTCAAGTCATCTGCCCAGCTCGACCTCCCAAAGTGCTGGGATTACAGGCATGAGCCACCGTGCCTAGCATTTTAAACAGGATGGCTCTCAATGGATGGAAGCAGCCCATGATTGTGCAGGGTCCGCAGCCAGGTAAGGAATTACATGTGTAATGACATATGGCAGGTGTCTCTTGTCCATGTGAAGTGGCTGGGGAGAAAGAGAGAGAGAGGAAGAGAGGAGAGAAGAAAGTAAAGAGAAGGAAAGGTTATAGGGTGCCTCGTGGAACCATCAGTGGCTTGTCCACTGCCACACTAGCTCACTTTCTAGTCATGACCTTCTGACACGAGCATAGGTCAAGAGCCAAGCCTCAAGGGTATCCTAGGATCCAAAACCCCGCCAGTAGACCAGCCCCTGGCATGAGCTTAGGGTAAGGGCGGTAACCTGTCCTCGCAGTGCCCCTGCCTGGCCAGCCACAGAGAGGCATTTGACAAAGAGGAAAGTCCCTTGAGGCTCAAGGTGCTGATCTGACAATGACCAAGTGTACTAGGACACTGCAGAGGTTGGCCCATCCAACTCCCTCATTTGCGTTGACTTTGGTAAGGCCAGGCTCCAGTTTGTAGGAGAGCTAGGCTTCTCCCCGCACACCATGTGGCCTCCTAGAGCGCTCCAGTTCTGTTGAAGGACGTGGGGACTCCATCCCCAAGCCATGGACGATCACTCCTGGTAAATACGTCCTCTTTTGTAATGACAAATGGCGTCACCATCAGCATCTTTACTGCTTGGCTGCCTGTCTCTTTTACCAGGTACATACGCTGGCATAACATGTCCTGGGATCCCAGGCGAAACACGAAGAGGAGCTCCTGTTACGGTTTGATTGATTTTTAAGCAGCCCTCTTGTGGGGAAGGTTTCATTTTTTCTTTTTTTTTTTTTTTTAAGTTTTCATTTTTGTAAGGATGGGGTCTCAATATGTGGCCCAGGCTGGTCTCAAATTCCTGGCCTCAAGCTGTCCTCCTGCCTCAGCCTCCCAAAGTGCTGGGATTATAGGCACGAACTACCACATCCAGCCAGGTCCCTCTTTTTTGCAGGTCCTCCATGTTTGGGCATTGGGGGTGCCCACACATTATACACAACTAGCCCCTGCATCCTTGTTGTCCCCTATTTTTGGGGGGAGGCAGATATCCCTAGAGACTCACTCACTTTTATGACCATTTAATTACTACTCATGTTTAATAATAAGCCATTACGTGACCATCACTGACTTTCAGCCAGAGAGTCACTGTGTGTATACTTAGCAGCTGCTAAATCTTAGTCCTAACAATGACGGTCCCATATCCTCCCAAGTGACCACAAGGACCTCAACAGCTTGGACATCTAATAAACAGCACTGCAGGGTTTTCAGGCCACCACAGGCCAGCTCTGGGTCACATTCAGACTTACCCTGTCTCTTTCAGCCTGGCTGTGGCTGAGCCTCATGAGTTCTGCAAACCTCTGCTCATAGAAGTGAAGCAGCAGCACCAGGTACAAGGCTGTATTCACCAGCTCGTTTTGTGCCTGCAAATGGAAAAGCAAGCTCTTCAGTTTGTCTGTAAAATAGTCAAGATCTAAATTGTGGGATGCAGGGTATCAAGGCTAAGAGGTGACAAGAACTGGGACAAGAGCCCAAGCTCCAAGGCAAGGGCTGTTCTTGGGGACCGGAAGACAGAGCAGGGTAGAGGCCAGGGCAGCCAATCCCTCGGGATTTTTTACTATCTAGTGTGGGTGCTCTGAGAACGTTCCATTTTTCAGGCTCAATCCCATTCCACATTTATTGAGCAGTTGTATACACAAAGCCTGGAGCTGGCTGTTGTGTGGAACACAGGACAAAAAGCCTCAGCACTCTCTGCTGGGACTGCATCACCTGGTGTGGGGGAGAGAACTTCATCCGTAAACAGCTCAACACAAGCTGGATGTGTCAAGCGCTGCAACAGAGATGCACTGGGCCATGTCTGTAATGTCCTTGGCAGTCACAGATGTCCCCTCGTTTGCCCCCATCATGCCATCGTTCCCCAGCCCCTAAGCATTTGTCTTGATCTTGCGCCCCCCTTTTTGTACCTGTTAACGTTTCTGGTTTTTTCTTGAGGAATGGGCTGTGTTTTTTTGCGCTGGTGCTCAGAACAGGTGCTACACAGGGAGGATGTGGTGGTCTGGCTGGCCTCGGTGCTTCTCTGTCCTCAGCACCTTGGGTTTTGCTGCAGAGTGGCTATGCTCACTCTAGACCCTTCATAGACCTTCCATACGTCAGTGGTGTTAGGAACGACTAGTCCTCTCCCTTTACAGGGGACAAAGTGGAAGGCCCTGTAAGTCCCCATCTTTCCCCTGAGTGGGGGTCTTGGGATGGGCCAGGCGGTGCTTGCAAAGCCACCCAGCCCCTGGGGGCTAGGGTCCCCAGCAGAGGGCATGGCCCTTCCATCACCCTTGGGAAAGGTTGCAACTGTGACTCTGTCGGCCCAGGATAACGGAGCGTGGGCATGAATGACACAGCACTCGGTGTCTCATCTTCTTCTTCCTGCAGCAGCGCGGGCGTCACATCTCCCCCTTCTCATTAGATCCTGGGCAGCTCAGGAGGTTGGCGCAGAACTCGCCTCTCCCAGGACCAAGCAGCTGCCAGAAAAGGCGCAGAAGTTGAGCAAGGATGGATATGCTCTTCCTTCTGAATCAGGCCAACTCTGGAGCTCGGTGACAGCTGGCCCTGAGGTCACTGCTGCAGGCCTCCCCACCATTCTACAGACCCATCTTCGAAGGCCCCAGTCCTCTGTCCTTAGTGGTTAGCCTCCTATTTTTAGCCTTTGGTCATGTTTTCTGTGCTCTGCTGACCTTGGCCTAGAGCAAGCAGAGAACAAGTTGCTTGTTTTCACTTTTTCTGCAGAGTCTCGCTGTCACCCAAGCTGGAGTGCAGTGGTGTGATCTCAGCTCACTGCAACCTCCGCCTCTCAGGTTCAAGCAATTCTCCTGCCTCAGCCTCCCGAGTAGCTGAGATGACAGTCACCCAGCTAATTTTTGTATTTTTAGTAGAGACAGGGTTTCACCATGTTGGCCAGGATGGTCTTGATCTTTTGACCTTGTGATCCACCCGCCTCAGCCCCTCAAAGTGTTAGGATTACAGGTGTGAGCCACCATGCATGGCCATTTTATTTTTTATTTTTGAGATGGAGTCTTGCTCTGTTGCCCAGGCTGTAGTGCAGTGGTGTGATCTCGGCTCACTGCAACCTCCGCCTCCCAGTTTCAAGCAATTCTCCTGCCAGCCTCCTGAGTAGCTGGGATTACAGGTGTGCCCCACCACACCTGGCTAATTTTTGTATTTTTAGTAGAGACAGGTTTCACCACGTTGGCCAGGCTGGTCTTGAACTCCTGACCTCAGGTGATCCACCGGCTTTGGCCTCCCAAAGTGCTGGGATGACAGGCATGAGCCACTCTGCCTGGCCACTTTTTCTGTTTTACCTCCTCTTGCCCTCCCCATGAGTCTGTGCCTGCCTCCTACTGTCTCACCAGCCACCTCTTCTGAGAAGTCTTCCTCCCCTGGCTTTTAGCTCCTTCTCACCACCCAAGCCCTGGCCCTTGCTTGTCTTGCTCGGACCCGGCTTCCTCCTGCAGAAGCTGCCCGTGGTTTTCTCACCAGTGCTCTTTGCCAGCCAGCCTTTATGCTCGAGACACTCGGATGCATAATGGCAAATCAATTGGCTAGAAAATGGCTTGCAACTATCAGGTTTGTCAAAGCATTCAGGGAAATCATTTCCTTTTTATGACTCAATAAGGCCCAGAGGCATGCAGATGGGAAAATATCCACTAATGTTTTCTGCAGATAATTTGAAAAGTCACTTCTAGCAGATTGTGTCTCTTCTCTGGTCTGTGGGAGGGAACCTGTCACACGGCACCATCAATCTCGCCGGCTCAACAAAGGGGCTCAGCCCACCAATCGGAGCAGGCATGTGATAGTCAACTCCGAGTCAGCCTTTCTGCTCCCAAGCCACAAGCGGGAGGGATGTGTTAACTCAGAGTTCCACCTCGCTTGTCCGGAGAGGGCCAAATGAAGGAGGTTTTGGAGCAGTGCTTACTGGAGCCACCGCCGATGCCCGCCTCGGTCCCCATCACATCACACTTTGACTCCCACATGGAGTTCCCTTTGTGCACCAGACTGAAGGGCATGGGGGTGGCATGAGAGGAGGGGACGGGGACATTAAAGGGGAGAAGGCATGTGAATCTGTGCACAAGCGCTCCGGAGACCGCAGCCCACCTGCCAGTTGTTTTTTCTATTTTGCTAATATTCATTTAGGTCGAGAGGCTTGCTATTGATGGAAATTCTCAATATGATCCACTTGAAGAAGCTGACAGCCTGGCGCTGAACGTTCTATCAAGTCTTCGAATATGTTCAAGAGATGCTCCCAGTGTATAAGGGTGATTTGGTGACTGCGTGTGTCTGTCCTTAGCTGAGATGGAGCCAGGGCAGGCCTGGGCTTTGGAGCAGTGACAGCCTGAGGCCCACGGAGACGCTCCTGTGCAGCAGTGCAAGGATGGGAGGGGTGTGTTCCAATGCCCGGTGAGCCGGGGCCGTGGAGGGCGCCTTACCTGAAAAGTGCGCCAGCTAAGGTGGGTGGTGTAGGGCCACCAGACACTGTGACTCTAGGCAGAGTTTTAACTGTTCAGGGACAAAGTGACTCAGTTTGTCATGGAGGAGAAGTAACCTCTGTTCTGCCTGTTTCTCCAAGGCGTGATAGTCAAATAAGCTAATATATGGGAGCTCACAAAATAGACACATCCTACAAGAGACAAGATGTAAAGATAGGATTCCAGGTAGACTGTCTGGGCGTAAGATCTCTGAGGTCAAGGCCTGCATCTGTTTGCTCCTGACTCCTAGTGCCTGGCCCAGTACCTGGTATACTGTGCGTGCTCTGTAAATCCATGCACAGATGAAGCAATGAGAAAAACACGCATAATTGTGGTGGATCAGACAGTGACCCATTCAGCCACAACTTTTGAATCTAGTGGCTCCAGCTTTAACATGCATCAGAAATACTGAGCAGGCCTTTTCAAACACAGTTGCTGGGCAGTGCTCCACCTTTTCTCCCCTCCCCTCCCCTCCCCTCCCCTCCCATTCGCTGTCCCCTCCTCCCCTTCCCTCTCCTGCCCTCCCTTCTCCTCTCCTCTTCTCCTTCTTTGAAAGAGTCTCACTTTGTTGCCCAGGCTGGAGTGCAATGGTGTGATCTCGGCTCACTGCAACCTCTACCTTCCAGATTTAAGTGATTCTCCTGCCTCAGCCTCCCAGGTAGCTGGGATTACAGGCGTGTGCCACCACTCCCAGCTAATTTTTGTATTTTTAGTAGAGATAGGGTTTCATCAGGGTGGCCAGGCTGACCTCAAGTGATTGATCTGCCTCAGCCTTTCAAAGTGCTGGGATGACAGGTGTGAGCCACTGCATCTGGCCTCACTGCTCCTCCTTTCTTCCCTGCATTTCTGATTCAGTTGGACTGGAGTGGGGCCCAAGAATGTGTACTTCTAACAAGTTCCCAGATGATGCTCACACTACTGGTTTGGGGACCACCCGTTTTTGAGAAGCACTGTTCTACCCTAAGGGTAAGCACTTGGTAGCTGCTGAGCTGAATCTGGCCTGTGGATGTGCTCCGGTTGGATGGAAGGAAGCAAGAAGGAAGGTAGAAAAGACGAACACGACCCTCTTTGGCTCGGGAGGGCACTTTCCATTTGCCACAAATGCCACCACTCCCAGTGGCGGGACACCTGGTCGATTGCCATGATGTGTTCTCTGCCTGGCCTGCATGGTATTTGAGTGTGGAACCTGTTTTCTCCTGGTCCATTTTGGAGCCTGAAATGTTGCTTGGATCGCTGCATGCTGCTATCCAGGAGTTCTGTCCGGCACCCCAAAACTGAGTGCCCGACAGAATCAAATACGAGTCCTGCTTCCAGGTTAAAGCCACCGCTCACAGAGCGAATGCAGGCCTGCCTCTCAGCACCACAGGAGGAGTAAGGCCCAGACCTAAGATTAAACCACCAGGTCCCTGCGGCCCCACAGCTGCTTTTGTCTAATCGTCCCCTCTCCAGATGCTTGTAGGACTTCCAAATCTAGCCGCTTGAGGCCTGGTAACAAGCCTTGACCTTGGGGCCCATACTGGACTGACTAATCTGAGTTCAGTGCCCTGTTAGCATCTGCCCTGCTCCCACCAGAAGGATGGAACCAAGGGAGGAAAACGTGCTCTGACGGAAGCCCCTCCACACTCTCCAAGGCCACCAACAGTGCTGACCAGGCCCCTAAAGGACACGCCTGATCTGCGCTCAGGTCCCAGGTGAGGTGTCTGTCACAGATGTCACAGACTCCAAAAGGCCCAGTGGCTAGAAGGCCCACTCGTCTCTTCCCTTCTGCTTGTAAACTGCTCTGTTTCAAGAAGGCCTTCCTTCTCTGGTTCAGAGAGCAAGTCGGATCCCAGCAGCTGTTCCCGCAGCAGTCTGCACCGTCTTCGTTTTGACCTCTACCTGCAGGGATCGCTCGCTACAGTCCTCATGCT